TCTTTCCCTTTGTCGTGTGTCCCCATCCCTACACTGTCACCCCTGCCCTCCTCTCCTGCACTCCCATGCAGTAACAGGAATAAGGGCATGAGTATTCCTGCGACGGTTCCCAGCTGTGCTCTGAGCCCTGGTGAGAAGTTGCTGTATCACTAAAAAGTCCTGACCTGTAAAGGAGGAAGCAACTTGGATCACCTTGGTTAGGATTTCAAAACCCAAGTCCTGCAAGTGCTACTCCAAAATCCACACTAAATACTTTTGAAAGAATGGCCTGTCAGGGTACTCCCTCCCAGACCTGGAGAGGATCTGGCACACACCAAGTATCAGTTCTCCATGGCCTGATGGTGAGCTAAAGAGCCCGTGCTTTTACATCTCCATTAACTCTGTGGTCATTCAAGGGCTAAAGCTTCCTAAGGGCTGAAACATGTTGGGTACCCAGTTCTCCCTGAGCTTTCGTGGAATTTCGGCATTAGAGATTTAGGAGCTTGAAAACATCAGTCCAGCTGTCTTTCATGACTGAAATGCCCAGGGTGCCACAGAACAGCCCATTTTCCATGAATGTGTATCAAAGGAAAAGGAAAAATCCCTTCTCAGTTATCAAGAGGTGAAGAAAGAGGAAGAGTATTTTGGGCTCTCACATTAGGCTCACTTCCCTATCTCCCGAGCCCTGGTCTTTCCAAAGAAATAACTTCAAAGTAAGTGAGCAGGGCGTTAACGGAGTCTGCTCCATACTAAAGGAGAAGCTGTGTGATTTTTTCCTCTAGATCAGCAGCTCAGTAATGCAGGCCACAGGAGGAAACTTTTGCAGGTTTGGGAGCACCAATCTAGACCAAGGACAAAAGTAGTGTCCTGGCTCTGTCAAAGTCTTTTACTCACTATCAAATTTTTCCTATTCCCAATCAGAATTAAAAAAAGATCAAATCCTGGAAAATGTTCCCAAGCTATAAATATTCTTCCTCAAATAATTGAGGTTTAACTACAAATGTTTCCTTTGGATTATTTTGAAATGTTTGATTTCAAGCACTTAAGAAGAACTTTACTAAAAGTAACATAAGTTTTTTAAAGGCAATGTCATTTAGAAAGGGAATTTGAAAATACAGAAACCAAACCTTTTTATAACAATTCTGGAGGGGGGAAAAAAAGCAGAAAAAATAATTTTAACTTTTCCTTTGCTATAGAAAAAAAGCCTCATCTTTACTGAGTTAATATTTTTCTGATGGGAAAAACAGCATTAAATTGACAAATTTCATGGTCAGTGGTCTTTGTCTTCAGAAGCAGGCTGATGTGCATGGATCCTGCCACTAGTCCTTCTGAGGCTTGCTAAGATGTTGATGTTTGCAGCTGGACTCATCACATTAACATCAAAGAAGGAATAATGCTTAGTACTGAAAATGCCCCAGGTGGACTTTCAGTCCATTTAAAACAGGAGGGCCGAACACTACGAAGGGTGTCTCTGGGATGTCACTTGTAGACCAGCTGCTTTTTCTATGATTACTTTCAACTACATTTTGTTTAAAGGACTCACAGAAAAATAGAAGTGCATGAATGGAAATAAAAAAATAAGGACATTTGTATGATTTTTATAAATAAACAGCACAGCAAGAATTAAATAGAACACAGACAAAGGACATTTATACAGGCATGAACTATTACAGCTTGTTCTCCTCAAAGAGTATCTGTGCATAGACTGTTGTACTGGGAATGCCTTTGGCTTCCTGAATCGGCTTCATAAGTTCAAGTTCAGCGTATGTTAAATTCTCCTCTGCAATTTTCGGCTAGGAAACAGAACCAACAAATTCAAGTTATAATGTCATTACCACTGAATGTAAGACGCCTTAAATATTCTATAGAATGGGCTATATTTCTTCTCTCACACATGCTATGCTGTTAATCAGTTAAGTCTGGACTAGGTAGTTCATAGAAGATGAAATAAAAATAATATTAAAAATAAGAAACAGGAAATAGTAAGATTTTCAGGTTAATTTCAAACTTCTCTTTGTTTCTCAAACACTGAACATTTTAATTTGACAATTCAAATATTGCAAATTTGAAAGATGTGTGTTAGCAAAACATTCAGCCTCCTTAATCCTAAATTTCCCAATTTAATTTTAATTATTGCAGATTTCACAATTTGAAATATATATGCTAGATTTGCTTCCCAGCTGTAAACTTTGGACCAGTTACATCTCTAATCACAGCCACTCACAGTACCTCTCATTATGTTTCTTAACAGAAACAGAAAACATGCTACAAATATGCAGATGGCAGCAAAAATGGATAGAATTGAGTTACTGTAATTCCAATGGGATTTCACCACTCTTGCCATGCTATAGATGAATTCAGAGTTCAGAACAAAGGCTATACCACCAAAGCTGTCTGATGTATTACACTGGTTGAGCTTTAGACTTAAAACTGTAAGACTTAGCTAAGAGAGACGTTATCAAGAAAATTTACTGAACAAATTTCACGTGGATGACAGAAGAGCTGCCTACTGCTATTGGAGACTTCATCCAGACCCAGAGTAGTGGCTTAGAGGAGGAAAGTCTTGTGTTCCTTTGCGTGTGTTGGCTCATCAGTTGGGAGCGGGTTGTTCGTATTGAGTTCACCTCGGAAAATGTAGCAACAAACAAAAGAGTTGCTGTGGAATTGTACATGGGGCCCTAGTGCTTGAAATGGATTTCAGTTCATCTCTAGAAGATTGAAGTCTGTGCTCCCTGAAGAAGGGAGAAGTGCTAAGACCCTGTGCAAGTGAAGAACTGGAGAATCTGTTCTTTTATTTTCTTGGGTACTGTGTTCTACCTGAATATAACTGGTGTCCTCAAGTTTGAGCCTAAAAAGGACAATTAAAACAAAACAAAAAACATTTCAGCCATGCAAATTTTTGCAGTCACAGGCCTATACCTTATGGAAAAGGTTGCATCTCTGAGACCAAGAAAGGCTTTGCCAGTTGTAAACTGAAAACTGACTCAAAGTTCGTTAACCAAGATTTTCCATACAGTATTTAGATGTTATAATGAAGAAATTGACAATATTTTCCAATGGCAAGAGTTTCCTTTATGTTTTATTTACTGCTATTTATTTCTTTCTGATTTAACATAAATGATTCCTGTTTCCTTGAAATGTGTTTGAATAATTATTATATTGTCTTCTGGCTAAAAAGATAAACATCTCATATCCTCTGAAATCAGTCCCTGTGCTCCCCTGCTTCCTGTCTTTTGCACTGCTCTGGAATCCTCTCATTTTGCCCTGACAGTTGCTCACACTGCATTTCAGATTGTTTCCCTCTGGGTGGATCAGTTTACACTTTTCCAGCATTAATTTAATCCTATTTCTTCTCTGCAGATCTGATCCTGAAATACTTTGCACAGCTGCTGCTGCAAGTGGTGTCACTGAAGTCAGTTGATCTGTGCATGTGAGTAAAGGCCATTTGCAGGGCTAACTGTCTGCAGGACTGCAATCTTTGCATTTGATTATTCACATGGTCTTCTCTCCCTCCCCTTCTTGCATAGGTAGTCCTATTTGATCTCAGCTTCTGGTCCTCATTCACTATCAAATGCTCCACTGTTGACTACAAAGAACATTTCCTGCTTTCGTTGAATTCTCTGGTGTAACCATGTAAAAGGACTTCCTGTGGATCCCAGCCTGATCTTGTATGTAAGAAAAATAAAATCACACATTTCTTTTCTTTGTTCATATATCGGGACTGAACTGAACCACAATGTTTAGAAAGGCATCTGTCCTATCCTGGCTTTGGCTTAAAGAGTTAGAAAAAACTCCTGGTCAATCTGATACTTAATTAATTTTTACCTTCCCCTCTTATTTCTAGCCTGAGAGTATTAACCTCAGTTTCTTGGCATTTAAGTTGTTTTTGTCTTTTATGATATGTTAGAAATTCCTTTTGAGATTTCAAAACTATATGTGCCCATCTGTTCAGTAGGTAGTAGAGAGGCTAAATACAGGAGTTAAGTTGAGGCTGGACATCGCAATAACACCAGCAAATGCTGAAGATTTTATTATCGGTGTATGATAGCACATCTAGTCTCTATTTGAAGGTACTGGGAGTTTTGCTGCCAACTTCAGTGGGTGTCACCTCAGACCCTCAATGCAGAATGATACACTGCATGTGAAAGGACTCCTAAAAATGAACCTGATAAAACTTTACAAACAAGCTGTTGGTCACTGCCAGAGAAAAACTCTACATTTCCTAAGACTGACCTAGTCCATCTTTTGAAGTAGAAATATTTTCATTGTTCTGTAGAAATCAGTTGCTCAGGGCAAGCTAAATCTGTATAGGCTTTCCCCTTTGCTGTTTAATTGTATTTCATGTTATGTTTCCATTTAGAAAATGCCACATGTCCTAAAATAGCCACCCCAACGCCCAGCTCATGTAAATTTTAGAACTAAGATTTATGAAATCATATTGTCCAGGTGTTTTATTATATTATCTCAAAATTGCATTGTTTTCCAGTGTAGATTATCTCTTTATTCTTACTTTATTCTATTATGTTTGGATATGAAAAATAACACTAGATTCCCCAAAACAGGTCATTGGGCAGTAGTGGCTGATGTGGTGCTTTCATACATTTTTATGATGTTCCTATAGTAAACATAATTTAATAAAGCCAAAACACACTAAATAAATAATTGCATCTAGAAAAGCAATAAAACCAAATAAAATTAGTACTTTCATAAGTGGAAAAGGTACTTCAATTACTGCTACAAGCAACAGCACACCATAAAATGTGTAGAATAATTTCCCTTATGCATATTTCTAGTATGTAATAATTTGATTGAAAATATGAGGAAACACACAGGAGGTTCAAAATTGTGAAGGGTATACAGTTTTCAGCAAAGGATGCGTAATAACAGTGCATGGAAGCCAACACTACGTTAAAGTACCTATGGTAGCCAGGGTTTTATTCCATACACTCTTCTGTACTTCATTTATCAACCACATGTTTAATTTAATTTTGCTGGTCTGTTTGTCCAAAACCAATTTTTTTTGAACAGGCAGGGAAAGAAAACTAATTCTACGATTCCATCTCTCATTTGGATTGGATAGCGTTTTGGCAGTGTAAACCTGGAATCCTGCCACCACCTCCTTTTTGGAACAATAACGTGACTTTAATAACTGATGTTATAGGTGGGACTGATACTAGGGCAGAAGAGGAAGAGACAATGAATGACTGGCCATTCACCTCCCTCTTTCCATCCTGGCTCTTCACTTAGGAGGTCATTGGGATTTCTATGGCTACAACATCCTTTCCTGAAAAATTACATCGTTGTTCTAAAATAACATGGAAATGATTTCTTCAAATTGAATTCTATTCCAATGTGACATTTCTAGATACAGTCTTTATCTTGTATCTCTGGTTTCTTGTCTTGGGATCACACACTTTGCAGAAATATAAATTAGGAAGAGTCATCATTTTCCAGTGTATCTTCTGGCAAATGCAAAATGATTTCTCTTCCAGATTTCTTCCAGTTTAATTTTAGTTTATTCCAGTCACAGGGCTTCCCATGGGCAACTATTCGAAAGAGTTCACTTACAGGAACATTTTTCTTAATAAACAATCTGCAAAGTCTATCATGTGAATATTTAAAAGAAACTAAAGTATGTGTATACATAGATTTGTTTTTATTGGGTTTGTCCAGTATATAAATGTATTATAAATGACCTAGAAGGGCTGGGTTTTTACTGAAAATTACTCTGATTTTTATGTCATAATTACCAGGAATGTCAATTTTGCTGTTCCTAGGCTTAGCTGGTTTGTTTCTTGGCAGCCTCAAGGATGTTTACTGTGAGCACTGTCAGACTGAAAGTTCTTGAAGTTTTAACTAAGGCCACTTTTATCCAAATTTGTAATTAGGTATGAAGAAAACAAGCAAATAATAACCTCATAAATTTAACTTGTCTGGAAAAACAACTGATGCCAACTTGCACTTACAGATTGCTGCAATCTCACTGTTCCATGACCACACCAGTCATCATGAAGATGACAAAATGAATGTGACTTTCTAATTAAAAAAAAAAATAAAAATCCCCTGATTCTAGTTTACTAGCAAAAATAAGCAGAAAAGGGCTCACTTCCTAGTTCACTTCGATCTTAAATATTTTAGTGACTACTTCTTCAGACATTTGCCTTGGAATTCAGTGTCTATATGATCACATGTGATGGAGTTTTTGTTTGGGATATGATGGAGAATGACTTTAATACAGGACCAGGGCAAGAAAATTATGTTTATAGACCAAATTGAATTTTCACCTCTGAGTTTTCTGTATTTAACAAGTATATGTCCCAAGTTCCAGTCAGAGCTTCAAAATATTTTTAGTAACTCAGATTTCGTGCAGCAACACTTGAAAATGAAACCCCACCCTCACTGGCATGCCCTGTGTTCATGGGTGAATGGATTAGGTCAGCAAGGATAAAACCTTGCCAATTATGCATAGGTTTGCTGGCCTAATTGCCAGTACATGGCAAATTGCCACGTATGGACTGGCCACGCTGTGCTGTTGGATGCACACTGCAGCGCCAGGGGGATGTTCTAGGAAATGCAAATGGGAAAGGTACAGAGTCAAGAGGTGGTGGTGAGGTTTGTTTGATCCAGTCTCTAGGAATTGCACTTCTCTCCAGGTTACTCCACAGCACAAAGCAAGCAGCCCTGCTATGAAGTAGCTCTTTCTTAGCAAGAACATGCTGGAACTACCATTTTTTCTCCCCCTTTCTCTTGCAAAGGCCAAACTCAGATCTTTGGCCTTTTGCCTTTCATATTT